TGGAGTGAGCATCCACAATATAAGTAAATATTTAAACTAAGCGTTTTTTTTTAAATCAAACTTTATCCGCCAATGTGATGTTTTTTGTTAAAATTTAATGAAAATTAGTTAAATTTGTACTGCGGTTAATTGCAATTTTTTGTTTTAGTATGGCAATCTATGAAGGCGGCGCTGCTGTGTCACAAGCCAGATCACTTTGGCGCATCGAACTAATTCGAATGAAATGGCATGGTGCATTGATTGGTTGGGAACAACCGTTTCGAATAAGGCATATCACTTCCGGAAGGTTATGATTTTCAGGTTTTAAAGAAAATAACACTAAATTAGATAAAACGTTTCAAAGCTTGACCTATGCCCTCAATAAACTTCAATTACATTCTATTTTTAATTTCAATACATGAAATGTATGATATCAAAAAAAAAGTATTGTTAAATCCGTTTTAGGTATTTGGGTGTCATGGAGAATGTCATTCAACTGTACGGCAAGGATAAAGCTGAACTCGATGCAACTGCTTTTGTTATGTATCAAACAAAGGTGAAGCATTGATATTATTATTGATAAGTGTTTATGGCAAAAAATGTTTAAATCGCTTTTGATTATTGCTACTATTACAGTGCTAGGATCTAACAGTTTGTAATTTTAAAAAAATTTTTTTTTAGGACTTAAAGAAACAATTAACGGAAGAAAAAGAAGAAGGAATGGGTGTTGCAACAATTCGTTACGGTGAAACGAATGCTTTTATTCAACATATTAAAACAGAGTTATGGCTTTCATATCAGGTATTTCTTCAAATTATATCTGATTAATTAATGATAAAATGATCTATTTCTAAAAAGTTTTGCTAAACTGTTTAGCTTCAAATTGACCACTGTAATTAGAATAAGCGAATGTGAAATGATTGAAAATAAGTCAAACACATTGCACATATGCTTCTTCCAAATGTTTCCATTTGATATTTTTTTTAAATAAATTTTTTCGGAATATATGAATATATTTCTTTTTTTTCTTAGTCATTCATTCAATTTTACTAAATTTAGACATCAGAAATAACGAAAAAAGGTCTCGGTAAAGTAGAAGAAAAGAAAGCGGTAGCATTAAAAGATGGTCACATGGATGATTGTTTTACATTTTTCATGGCGCTTGAAGAAGAATCCAAATCGGCTCGTGTCATCCGGAAATGTTCATCCGTACTCAATCGATTCCTGAAGTATTTTGGCTATAATTATAATCATTAACCATTGTTAATGTTAATAAAAAATTTTGGCTATAAAATAGTTTAAATTTTAAATAATCATTTTATTTATATTACTAATACCTTAGGGGTATTGAAGCGCTACAACGAGAAGGCAAACAAGCGCAAGATTGGAATCGTGCTGATCTAAGCGAAGTGTTAAGGCTCATGGAGGATTTGATTGATTATTTCGCGCAACCGGATGAAGATGGTTAATGTTTAATAAATTTCTACATAAATTACAATTTCAATCGTTTTCATCGATCATTAATTATGCCAATACATTAAAGGATATTTTCAATTCAGATTTTGAAGCGAGTCAAAATCGTTTACGTGCACTGAGAAGTCGTCAAGACTTATTTCAAGAAGAAGGTGTATTGAATATGATTCTGGATACTATCGATAAATTTTCACAAATGGAAGCAATGCCTGACTTTGCTGGACTTCTAAACGATGATACGCAGGTCATAAAGGCCGTTTTTTTTAATTTCAAAATATAATGATAAAAATTTCAATGAAAAAGTTAACTTTTATTTGGTGTACCAAAAAAAAATTTTGGTTTTTATTTATCCTTCTGATTTCTGGGAATATTCTTAGAAATATGAAGGTAATGAGAAAATGAATGAATGAATTTTTCAGTTAATTTATAGCGTCAATATTTGATTTCGAGATTGAGTTAATTATTTAATTTAATCTTAGTTGATGTGGGAGGAAATTTCTACTTACCTGTATCTTCTTGTTGCTGCAATGATCAAAGGGAATCACTATAATTGTGCCCAATTTGCATCAGCTCAACGATTACAATGGCTATTTGGACGATTATCAAATCCGCAATCTGCAGAAGGTTCAAAATAGTTTTTAAAAAACGACATAAATTTAGAACAAAAATCCAAATTTTTTGTTTTTGATTTTTTTTCTTTTTTAAATAAGAGTTTTGCAGGTATATTGGATGTACTATACTGTGTGTTAACTGAATCACCGGAAGCATTGAATATGATTAATGAAAGTCATATAAAATCGGTAATATCGCTTTTGGGAAAGGTTGGAAGAGATCCGAAGGTAATGTTTCTTTCAAGAATTTATTTATTTAAGTATTAAAAAATCTTGTAATGTCGTAGTAGTAGCTTTTTAAAAGATTGAGCTGATTAAATTAGAAATCACTTGAATATGTTTGTCCATTAGTTTCATTATCTTATATTCGTAACTAACAGATGGATTTAATAATCAAACAGTTTTAGGTGCTCGATGTTCTGTCATCACTTTGCGAAGGTAATGGAATGGCTGTACGAAGTAGTCAGAATACAATTACTCAACATTTATTGCCTGGAAAAGATTTATTATTGCAAACCAAAATGAGAGATCATGTGAGCAGGTACGGTGAACCATTTCATTTTCAATGCACAGTCCAACACAAAATATTTTCCAAAAATTAAATATAAAATTTGTCAACAAAATCAAAAGTAATATACTTTGAGAAGATCAATTTCACAATTTAGTAGGTTTTGTTATTACTACAAAACATTGATCTTTTTTTTGTTCATAACTAAAAGTAGCATTATATTCAAACATAAAAATTGAACTCATATCTAATGATGTGAATTTCCACATCTTAAATACTGGAATTATATCTTGATAAAATTAATCTGAGGCCCTAAATTTTTCTGAAGACACTGTAAATATTCAAGGTTTGATGAATTATTATGAATTACGAAGTAGAATGAATATTGATAGTATCCGTGGAATATGAGAATCGTATTTTCAGCAAATATAGGAAAAAAAATACGCATAAATATAAATAACAAATCTATGTGTGCCTGTTTAAAAGTAATTTTTGTTGAAAGAAAAATTAATTTACATTAAAGTGAAGCAAATAATTGAAATTCCACTTTGTGCCTTTTTGGCATTTAATTAGATACTAAAATTATATTTTTTTAAAACGAATTTATCTATTAATTGGAGGAAAAAATGTGTTGTGATTAAGCAAACTAATTAATTTACTTGCAGTATGACGCCGAATATTCTTGTTGGTGTTGTTGAGGGAAGCTCACAATTTCGACGATGGTATTATGAAGCAGAAGTTGAGCATATCGAACAGATGACCAAAACAGAACCATATCTTCGGATCGGATGGGCAAATAGCATGGGTTATAAGCCGTTTCCTGGTTCAGGTGATGGGTAAGTTATTATTGCTAATAAATAAATAAAGTTATTATTGTTATTATTGCTAATAAATTCTAGTTATTACTAATACAACATCCCTTTAAAATTTTTT